ATATAAAAATTGAACATTGAAGTCAACACTCAAAGGCGACAGGCTATTTCATGTTTGTGTTTAGCAAAACAACCTGTCGTCTCTGAGTGTTGACTTCAATTTTCATATATATATATATATATATATATATATATATATATATATATATATATATATATGTATGTATGTATGTATGTATGTATGTTTGTTTGCATCAGTTTTCGTTTATGCAAATTAAACCCTATGGGAAGTTCTTTGTTGAAGATTATATCATTTAATTTTCTATACTTCGGACAATATTCCTATCTTCCGGTAAAATTTGAATATTATTTGTCTGAGTAATTTCGGCTTTTGGAAGACATTATCAATGTGGCCTTGATGAAAAGGCTGTAACTATATTTAGAGACTGTTTGTTAGTGTGTTCGTGTGTGTGCGAGTGTTAATGGATGTGTGTGTGTGTGTGTTAATGTGTGTGTTAGTGTTTGCGTGTGTGTGTTTTTTCCTTTATTCAAATGCCGTCAATTCTAGTCTTTTTTGCTTTTTAACCAAACTTTTATGTATACATACATGTATACATACATACGTGCTTACACACACTCACAGACACACATATACATATGTATACATATACTATATATATATATATGAATTAAATACTTATGTATATATTTATATATGTACACACACGCGTGGACGCACACACACACACACATGTTATCCGATGTTACGAAAAAATTTACATAAAATAAATAGACAACACTAGTCTATATTATTTAGTGTATGAATATATATATATATATATATATATATATATATATATATATATATATATATATATATATATGAATTCAAAACTATTAACAAGGAAGACAAATTAATATTTCGTTGTTTATTTAAACCATCATCAGAATATTAAGTGGGTAATTGTATTTTGATGACCAATTTTCTACTTTAAGGTATTCGATTTATTCGAAGTCTTGTTCTAATTTTTCATTGTTCTAAATGTTGTATTATATATATATATATATATATATATATATATATATATATATATATAACATTTCAGCCAAGTATTCTCTGATCATCTTCATGTGTCCATTATTTTAACTGAGATGGGGTATTGTTTCTGTTCTGTTTATTGTGTTACTTTGATCCCTGTGATGGCATTTCTTATTTGCTCCAGCTTGAAGCTTGATTTCACTGACAGACCTAAGGATTGAACTTGCGACTCCTGAGTGACAGAACCTAGATAACATCTATAAACCCAAAGAAATAAATAATTGGGAGAACGAACTGAATAGGTCAAATTACGGGAGCAGAAGATTTTTGTCAAAAACAATTAAAATTAATAAGCAACTTAAAAAATGACCAGAAATCTAGGTCTTTTCTCCCTTATTTTCATTTCACGATATTTTGATGATGATCTGAAAAAATATCGAAATATTAAATCAAATTTGATTAAATATCGACAGGTAACTGAATTTGCCTTCATCTCCCACCTTCATGCACACGCGCACACACCCACACCCACACACACACATACAGATATATAGTATATATAAGTAGATAGATAGATAGATAGATAGATAGATAGATTGATTGATTGATTGATTTTAAGATATTTATTGTTTATACGTTATTTTTATAGATACAAATATTTGAGTAAATCTTCTGTTTATAATAAAAAGTATTAACATTTACCGGCTTGAATTTTCGAGAAATTTCATAGGAATATGTGTCCTCCGACAATGGACACATATTTCTGAGGAAGCGTCTGTTTAGAAAAATGTACCTAAATGATACGTCAGGCTACATGACGGTTCCGTGTAGGATACAGGTTCGATTCCTGTCGGTGGACACATATTTTCTATAAAATTTCTCGGACATTCAGGCCGGTAAATGTTGTTAATATTGTTTTTTTTTATAAACAAAGCATTTATTCAATTATTTGTAGCTATAAAAAATAATGTATAAATATATTGATATAATGGTCGGACTTAGTCCATTTCATAATACATATATTTCTTTGGAAAAGGGACTATATTTTGTGTCTCTCTTTCATTCTCGTTCTTACTTCTTTCTTCTTTTTTTTCTTTTTTGAAGAGTCTATATCTTGTCTTTCTGTTCTTTTTTTCGACTATATCTTGTGTCTTTCTTTTTCCTTTTAAGAGGAGAATATATCTTATGTCTTTCTTTCTTGCTTGCTTTTCTTAATTTCTTTTTTTTCTTTTTCGCCGGAAAAGAGATTGTATGTAGGTAAATATTAAAAATTGTAATAACTCTTATTTACTACCGCCTGATGAGCTGCGATGATACGCATCTAAACATGAATGCATTTATGTAGCGGTCTTACATGTATATTTGAATGTAATATCATATAATAAAGTATATATATATATATATATATATATATATATATATATATATATATATATGTGTGTGTGTGTGTGTGTGTGTGTGTGTATATGTAATTTAGTCATAATGCAAAATGCATAGAGAATTCAAGCTTCTTAGAATGGATACATATGTGTTTGACGATTATTCTTGCATATGCAGACACTCATACATACACACAGGATGTATTTTGTGGCGAATTAATCCACGGCTCGAAAGGACCTGCATCATTTAAGAGAGCGTCATTTTTTTTAATTTTTTTTTTAAGATTTTTCTTTATTCATCGTTGCTGTCTATTTGGGTCGACATTGTTCCTAAATTCCCAGACGAACCTAACATGTTTTAAGACGAACACAGAATTTAATGGGAATACATTTTTATTCTTAGGACTTCATCGGACTGGCTTTCTTAACGTTGACGTGAGTACACACGCGCACGTACCAAAGACGCTGGAAATTTGAAATTTAGAAAAAGGGATATTTTCTGTGTGTTTTGGTCATACAGTCTGAATAGTTTAATCTATATTCGTTTTCTTTTTGTTTCCATAAACTTTGTTATAAAATATCCGACATTGTAATAACAGAAGATTTCCTACGTTCTTACGTTTTATCCATTCTTGGCAAATGATCTATTATCAAAATGTGGGATATTTAGTAATGAAAATGACCGAAACAAAAAGAAAAAAAATCTAGATGAAATTGACCAGATTCTATGCCTAAAACACATAGGAAAAAAAAAGTTTAAAATTCCCAGCGTCTCTCGCTTGTGCGTATGTGTAGTCGAATTGACGTGGGCAAATCCAGCCCGATCAAGTCCTAAGGGATGACACGCGCCATACAGAAACTTTTTCCACTTTGATATATATATATATATATATATATATATATATATATATATATATATATATATATATATCCGTGTGTTTTTTTGCTTGTGTAGCAGTCATTCTTTAATACATGTTTCGTTGAACAAAACAGATACGGTACTTTTATTATATTTTTATTTATATCTTTCTTGTCTGCGCACAAGTGTTATCTTTTCTCTACTTAATGAATGTGAAAATTTTGGACAATTTTGTACATGTATTAAGTCCCTAAAAGAACACCCTTGTTCGCATACAAGAAAAACTGAATAACAAATCTAACAAAATACCTTGTTAGTTTTGTTCAAAGAAACAAAAGTTTTTCTATCTACAGATTGATATCAACTCGTTTAATCATCTATTGGTCAACACACATACAAACACGCACATATATACATACATACACACACATACAAACACACATATACAAACACACACACACACATATATATGTATATACATGTACTTAGAGAGGTAAATATTAATGTCATACGCCCATTTCTTTTTAACGATATATGCATATAAAACTACACACCCATACACACGACATATACATATTACACTTCCCTACATATATATATATATATATATATATATATATATATATATATATATATATATATATATATATATATATATATATGAGCATTTATATACCAATATATATATATATATATATATATATATATATAATGCATACATTTATGTATGTATACACACATGTGTTTCACTTGTCTTGTACGTATCTATGTAAATATGTATTTGGAAAATAACACTTTTTGCGACATATCTACATCTAATTCGATTTCAAAATACTTTTTTTTGTTAGCAATATGTTGTTGGTTTTCATGTTCAAAATTGTATTTTTATTTTTTTGGTTGCTTGAAATTTTAAAACCACTGAAAAGTAACACCACGTTGACTTAATCACCAATACACAATTCTGTTTTTTTTTCTAACGGATATGCAATGTTGAAATTCGTTTTTTTTTTTAAATCATTTGTACATTTTTCAAGATCACACCCTTTCACTATTTTCATAATTATTCCAGTTATCTGACCTTTTCGCCTAATCAATTCATTATTAACTCTATCATGTCTAATGTCTTTGACATTCTGCTGCAATTTATAAAAATCTCTAATGCTTTCACTTTCAAAGTTTTTATCTAACTTTTCTTTAGAAATTTAAATGAAGTTAATTTTTGCAATTTAAATATTTTACCTGAAACGGTGATTTCAAATTATTAAAAAATTTACGTTGTTTCCACTTTTTAAAAAAAAAATTAAATAAACCCCAAAAAATCTTCAGTCATCAATTTCAACTTTTATAAAACATTTTATTTAATTCAATTTTCTTCATTTCACTTTTAAGACCAACTAACTGGAAAAATTCGACACTAGTAAACTTTTATGTTTCGTTATATAAATCGTATACACCTTAACAAATATTTTGATGAGTAATTTTGCCCCCATCTACCAAATATTTTCCGTACCTATCCACCGCTTTTTGTTTGATTTCATTTTTCTCTTTATCAATATCTGTCTGTTATTATTATTATTATTATTATTATTATTATTATTGATTAATATACAGTAATAGAAATGTGCTTTTCTAGAACTCTTCTGGCAAGTGGGTTGAGCCGACGAAAGACCTTCCACGTACTAGACCGAGATGAGCCGACCGTTTCTGGCCAATCACAGGCGTGAACACGGCTCAACAAGTGATCAGCAAGGTCCGTTGACTAGAGCCGGCAACCCCCACCCGCTTCACAGAGGGGTGGGCTCAGCATCAGCCGCATTGATTGACGAATATGGAGGCGGGTTGTCGTTGAAACCTTCTCGTATATCAATGTCGGGACGAAACAACAGCTTGCATCTCTACGGAAATAAAAAAAAAAGAAAAAACGAGACAAAAAATTATAATAAAAACGATTCATCTTTAAAAATAAGAATTCGTAAAAAGCTTGCATATTACACGTGTTCTATTTGTAACGTTTTCATCACTTCCGAGCCACTGACAATCATTTTCATCGATAGTTTTAATGAATAAATGTATATTAAAACAATTATCAAATGTAATAGTCTTGTAGTATCGTATGCAAATGAGATAGATAACTATAAATAGAGAACAACTGGTGAACATAAGGGCATTGCTTAGCAAACCCCTTTGCTAAACTTAACGCTGAAAACTGTTTCAACTGCTACTACACAAAGAGATATACAAAACAGAACAATGATCCTATCGGCGATGCCATTATTATGTTTGGTATATCTCTCTGTGTAGTAGCAGACAAAGCACAATACTCCGCGCTACGTTTAGCAAACGGGTTTTCTAAGCAATGCCCATATGTTCACCAGTTGTTCTCTATTTATAGTTATCTATCTCATTTTCATACGATACTACAATTCTGAAACATTTTCACTTGATTCGAAGATTAACAAGTAACTAACGGAAACTGTCTATTTTTGGGTATTTTTTTAAAGAATTTCACCCCAAGCAAGACGGGAGTTCCACTAGCAAGCAAAGGGTTACAGAGAGTGAGAGCAAGAGTAAATAGTGATGTTTGAGAAAAGGATATAGAAAAAGGCGAGGATCATGATCAAGGCATCAGAAGATGTCGATTAACATTACATTTGAATATTTGGAGATTATAGCTATCAGAGAAGCAAGTAAGAGGAAAGGAGTCCCACTGTCGGGAAGTGCGAGAGAAGTGGCTGTTGGAGTAGAAGAGGTGATTACATGTAACTGTTTCGACAGGGAAAGAGTGGACCGAGATGCCAATCTAGTAGCACGCTTAAATTCATGCAGTTGGGGCACAAGTGAAAGTAGCTCGTCAGAGCAGTTGCCATGAAAATATTTGTAGAAAAGACAGAGTGAAGCCACATCACGTCTGTGAGAAAGTGACTGTAGACGAGATGCCAGATCAGGACCTATTACATTGCATATCCGACTCTGGATTTTGTCGCGGAATGTAATGAAACAGGGTGCGGGAAAAGTAACGCCCCACTTCTTTTTTTTTTGGAGTTGAGATGGATAGACTTCTTAACATTTCATCTTTTTTCAATGGATTTTTGTTTTGTTTTGGCATTATTTTTCGAACCACCAAATATATGCATATTATTCTCTCCCTCCTCCTCCTCCCTCCCTCTCTCTCTCTCTCTCTCTCTCTCTCTCTCTCTCTCTCTCTCTCTCTCTCTCTCTCAATCGAGAAATATAAGCAGTCAATTGCGGATAGCCCCTGAAGGGTGTACTGACGGGTCCACCTACGAAACTCTGGAGTCGGGTTGCTAAACCTTTACTTATATTAATTCTCTCTCTCTCTCTCTCTCTCTCTCTCTCTCTCTCTCTCTCTCTATATATATATATATATATATATATATATATATATATATATGCATATGCATATTTCATAAAAATACGACAGACAAGGTACTACGGTTAAGCTTTTAATTTAATTTTTCCTTGTGTTCGAACAAGAGCTTTCTTTACTGGACAAAGAGTGTGTAAAAACTGTCCAAATGTTTTATAGTTTCGAGCGCTTTCGGATATACCTTTAGTCATTATCAAGGATGATTCAATTTTTCAGCTTCATTGAGTGTGTGCATTATGTGTATGTTTTAGTGTGTTGTAGAGATGTTTTTAATTTCCGAAACGGTTAGCTCATTGTCGCCTTGTTCGTAGTTAATATTGTTAAGAGTTTTTGCACACTCTTTGTCCAGAAAAGAAAGCTCTTGCTTGAACGCAAGAAAAAATTAATAAAAAGCTGAACCGTAGTACCTTGTCTGTCGTTTTTAATGTAACATGCATAAACGAAGGATTGCCGCCTAAATATATATATGCACTCTGTTTATACGTTATTTTTATAGATAACATTTATTTAAGTAAATGGTCTGTCTTTTAATTAAACAGTATTAATTGCATTCACCGGCCTAAATTTTCGTAGAATATATGCGCCTTCGACAGGAAGCGAACCTGAAACTCTTATGGGAACCGTCATTTGATCTAACGTACTGCTAACCATTCAACCACACTTTAGACGATTTTTTTCGATCGATCAGAGAAAAATCGTCGAAAGTGTGTTCATAGACAATGATTCAGACAATAATTCAGACTTTGCTAATCAGACGCTTCTCTGTGACTGAATGGTTAACAGCGCGTCAGATCAAATGAGGGTTCCTATAATGGTTACAGGTTCGATTCCTGTAGGAGAGGGTGGTAACATCCAGGCCGGTAAATGTAAGTAATACTGTTTAATTAAAAACAGAACATTTACTTAAATAAATTATATCTATAAAAATAACGTGTAAACAGAAAATATATTAAAATAATTGTTGGAATTAATCTATTTCATAATATATATATATATATATATATATATATATATGTGTGTGTGTGTAACTGAGAGAGAAAACGAGTAACGTTTTTTTTGTTTTTTTTTTACTGAGGTGGATAGGACAGCGTGAAGCATTGATTGGTCAACATGATCTCCAGACCTAATACCAGCAGACATTTTTGTGAGGTGGACTGAAATATCATCTTTACAGGCTCAAACCAAAAACAAGTTCTGACTTAAAACGAGCAATTTCCGATAAATTTTCTGAAATTAATGTAGAAACGTGTCAAATAGTTTGTAGAAGTATTGCTGATCGGGTGTATTGAAGATGAGGACGTTGAGGAGGAGGGGGATAACGATATGCCCTTGACTTGAAGCAGTCAAGATTAAATTATTCGAGGAAGCAACTACACAGGAGTCCGTTTTATAAAGTGGTAGTTCATGGGGGAAAGTTGTCGATCTTTTTACAGAATAAAAACCAATTTAACATGTGTTTAAATATTTTTTCGTAAGCCATAGACTTCATTGGATTAAATTTAATGAATTTAATTTAACTTGAATTTAATATTAAAAATCTAGAAAATAATCGCCTCCTTATACGCTTCAGCAAGTACCTGATTCCTCTTGCTATGCTCTATATTTACAAGAGACAGATCAAACCAAAAATGAGTTATTGCTGCCATATCTAGGCTGTCCAATCATCTCTTTCCAGTGTTGACATATTTCAAAAGCGACTACGCGGCCTTGTAGGTGATGAATTATTTTACACCCTTATAACTGCTTTCCCATAGACAAAACATCGCAAACAGCTCGCTACTCTATTTTTATTTCCATGAAAAATGTTTTGAGAAGCTACCTTCATTAATTCCACCAGTTCAGACCATCACAGCTACAGCCCACCATACCATTCCATTCCTATTTCATTGTTAAAAATGGTTTCCATTCTGAAAGCTTCTATCTAAAGACAGTTACTTTGTGGAACAGACTCCCGAGAGGATGTTTCCCCGAACATTACACTCGTAACCACTTCAACTCTATCGTCAATCGCTATCTATCATACATGTCATCTGCATTTGTTACCTCCTTCTTTTACGTCCATAAAACAACTTAATTCGGTAACCCTTTATCTTGAGTTAATTTTGGGCCTTGTTTTGAACAGAAGTATGAAAAAAGGAGCGATACTGTGCGACCTGAATTAGTTTTTGTTATTATGAACATGAGAAAGAAATCATTGCTGACTTACCGTTTTGAAGTCGCCGGGAGTTTTGATGAAGATGTAAATAGCATAACCAGGTATTGCCAGTATGGAAGACAGGATCATAAATGCTCCGATCATGTGAGCCCAGGCAGGAAACTCATAATCCATGTACTTGACAGGCACATGTTTGACGGCAGTGAAAATGAAAACACCCTGAAGACAGAAAGAGTGGCAAAAAAGAAAGAATTTACTCAAAGATGACAATATACAAGGGATTAATCTGAAAATATAAACACTTATGTAAGCAGAAATCAGTTACATCAGGTTTTCGCAAGATGGGCGATATCATCCACCAGTGGGCGATTTCAGCTGTTGGGTGGGTAATGAGAAACTGAACAGAAAATGTTGGGCGATTGGATATTTTGGTGGGTGATATAGAATTTTGAGTATTAAGAAGGTATTTCAACATATGCTACCCGAAGAAATATTCAAAGGATATATGCGAAGAATTCAGGCTAAATGGAAATGACTGGGTCACATTCCTATAAATATTCCGAATATTTTGGTATTTTCTATAGTTCTGAGAAGGGTTATTAATGTTCATATAGTTCTTCAAGCGACATTTTTTCGGATATAAAAATCAGATAAGGAAAGATCAAGAACAACCGAAAAAATATTCGCCGAATTTTTCTTAGTTGCTAATAATGTATATTCTTTGTAACTTTACAATTATGAAGAAAAATCGGTTAATTTTTATCAACACTTTCAACGCTAACCTCAAACATAAAACTAACTAATTTTTTATATAGTTTTCAATGGCGAATTTTGCTTTCGTTTGTTGAGTAGCAGCAGCAGCCGTCTCATAAGTCAGCGTTATTTGTTACCTCCCTTTGGTATTTCTTATTAAATCATAAAGTCAGTTTATGAATTAGTAACAAACTTTTATCAAACAATTTTGGTATGCAAAAATAGTTGAGAACTTGCTGAATTACATAGACAAATAGATAATAACTTTATTTTCGTACCTTTCATAGAGGAAACAAAGTAATTTCTAAGGAAATAATGGATTTAAAAAATCGACTATTTATTATGTGATGACATCTAAGTCTGACTGTATTTGCATATACACCAAACTCGCTATGTGCACAGGTTTGTCTTCTCGGACGTGATTACATTCAGCAAAAAATGAAGACAACTGTTTTTCAAGACTCTCTGGTTGGGAAGTAGCAACAATATGATTTCTCACTTAACTGTGGGATCTTTCTTTCAGCTTCGAGAGGCGGACTGCTATCTATCTAACATCCGGCCACGAAAAAGGACCCTTACATTCACTGCTTGTCGCTTCGGTCCCTGCTGATTCCTCACTCCTGGCCGCTGGGCAGCTACTAACTCACTGGTCACCTACTTATTTCTCTCAGGGATGAACCCCCTTTTTTTCTTGACTTCCTACCTTTCTCTTCTTATATGGATAATCGTTGGGGTTCCAATCCCCCCACCTCCGGAAGTGTTGAGACCACCACAAACCACGTGGATGGTCAAATCTTCAAAAGACTACTTTTATGACTATCTAAAATCATTAATAAAATTTTATGTTTGTCAATTCAAAGGAACACTGGAGACCTGAATCCTGAAAACTCGGCAATTCAGTTGCCTCAAGGTTGGACTGGAAACGAAATTCCTACGAAATTCAGATACCTAGTCGAGTGGACTTAAAAAGATGGAATTTATCTTCTAAACGCGTGTGAAAAATCATATTGTTACAATTATTTATTGTTATATAGTAATTTGTAGGATATTTGTAGAGATCCCATAGTTGATTTTGTTTAGGTTGGGTTTGAAATATCCTTAAATGTCTGTAGTTGGTGACGGAGGCCATTGGTTTGTGCCAAGGGCTTTCCATACTTCATACTTCCACAATTCACTCTCGTGTGGTCATGTGTGACGTCATGAGATGCTTCTAGCGTTTTATATGCATGTGTTTATCGTTGCTTAGAGATCATCTATGTAAACATTCACAGACTGTCATCACTGTCTTGTCCGTATATTGCTTAATATGTTGTAATTAACATCTTTGATAATGGCTTATGTGAGCCGAAAGCTTAGATTGTATTAAAAGATATGGATCAATATTGGGAATTTCTTTCTTCGTTCAATTATAATGTTATTAAACTTATTAGACGTTATGAAAAGAGTTTACATAAAATAAATAGACAACAGTTGTCTATATTATTTAATGAAATGTGTATAAATGAAAAGATGCTGCCTAAATACACACAATATATATATATATATATATATATATACACACACACATATATATATATATATATATATATATATATATATATATATATATATATATATATTACATATATATATCAAGAAATGGACAAAGTCCGACAATTTATTGATTAAAGACATTTTTATGTTTAACGTTGTTTTTTATAGATACAAGTATTTAAGTAAATACTCTGTTTATGATAAACAGTATTAAATAACATTTACCGGCCTGAATGTCCGAGAAATTTTAATAAAAAATATTCGTCCTTTGACAGGATTCGAACCTGCATCCTATACGGAACCATCGTTTACGCTGACGTGCCTTATCCGATCGGCCACAAAGGAGCGTTCGGCAGACAAGGTCGAATTTACTGCTTATAAACTTGTCTACCGAACGCTCTTTTGTGGCCGATCGGATAAGGCACGTCAGCGTGAATGACGGTTCCGTATAGGACGCAGGTTCGAATCCTGTCAAAGGACGAATGTTTTCTATGAAAATTTCTCGGACATTCAGGCCGGTAAATGTTATTTAATACTGTTTATCATAAACAGAGCATTTACTTAAATACTTGTATCTATAAAAAAAGAACGTTAAACATAAAAAATGTTTTAAATAAATATATATATATATATATATATATATATATAATAAAATATATTATATATATAATAATAAATTATTAATATAAACGTATTTAGTGAATGCACTTGTTACAGCAGAAATTCCTGCGGGATTTTTTTTTTAAATTAATTGTCAATTTGACAAGATTTACGATTGCCTGTGCTGTTAGGTGTCATTTATGGTATTAAAATAGATGAAAGGTTTTTAGTGAACCATCCAAAATTTCGAACAATTTATCACAACTAAATTCTTTTCTACCACATTTCGGAAAAAAAAAATGAAAAAAAAAAAAAAACAGTCGAAAAAAAAATTTACCCAGATATACCCCCAACAAAATCCGTAAGTTTCGAAACATTATACATATTGCACTAAAACTTGAGAGATTAGCTCGTTAGTCATTACTTACGGTAGATCCTCATTTTATGATACTGACCACATTCATGTTCGTCTGCCACAAAGGTTAATATAGTGAAAAAAAGACAGTGTGAATAGAACTGTTTAATTTTTTTATGTTTAGCTTGTTAAGCATTGTTCTGCCGAATGAGTTTTAATATATATTTACTTAGCTTAGCTAAGTGTGAGGCAGGGCTGCAATATTGGAACATCAAATTCCCTAAACTGACAACGCTATGTGACACAGACATCGTGTAGATATTTTACTCAGTTTAGTTTTATAAAGGACTACAACAGAAAGACCTTAAGTAATGTGAGAATACACTGCTCTAACAATAGCCTGCACGACTAACTTGCTCAACAAGTCTACTGTAGTCGTATTTTATAATTCTTCTTGGTATTGATACATCCCTCTTGTAACACTCTTATTTGCTCTTTTGATTATATATATTCTAAATAAAAATTAGGTCTGCCACAAAATGAACATGATATTTAAACACGATGTAATCGCGAACAAAACTCTTTTTAATCAAAGAGTAAAAAAAACTCACCAAGCAAATAAATGGCACTGTAATAACCCAGCTGATTTTCCAAATGAAATGTGGATGGTATCCAATCATATCTTTCATATTATCATAGAAACGGTTGATACCTATAAAAGAGAATTTTATGTGTATTTTAACAGATAAAAGTTCAGTACTCTACTAAGTTGATTTTGCAACGTAGAAGCGACAACACTGTTAGCAATAAAGTTTTACCTTCAAGAATTATTTTGTAGTTTCCTTTTCTTCTGAATATTATCACATTAATAACATTTTCACTTTCTTAAATAAAGTCTAATGATCTCACCTGAGCAACATTATAATCCCGTATTACAGTTATCTTTTCAGTAAAGTTATGATTGAAAGAAAATATACCCAAATTCCTTGCCATTCAATAAATAAATAAAATAAATAATTCAACGCTCAATGTATTTTATCAATTGCTCTTTCGATTGGTATTAAAAATAGTTGGATTCTACATTTTAGAATGTTACAACAGATCAAAATAGCAATTCATTTTTGGATAATTTGCAGTGTAACACCCACGCTTAGTTCGCATTAAAAATTTCCAAAATACTTACATTTATGTGTAATTGTACATGCTCCATTCGGATCTGGCTTGATAAATTTGATAAAATCTACCGTTTTGGAGTTATCGACAGTGAAAGTTCGGATTCATTCGCGTCACGGCCAGCCATTATTGTCGTTGTTTGTATACATTCGCTGCAGAATAGCTATCAGTGTAGGTATCATTGCGCAAACTGAGCATGTCTACGTAAATAATTCTCGTACGCAGTAATTTTGACAAATTTAAACAAGAAAGATCAGTTCCAACCTTAGCTTTCCGTAGTCTTCCGCGTTTAGCTTTCCGCAGCGAATGTATGCAAACAACGCGAATAATGCCTGCAGCCAACAACGCGATTAAATCCCAAATTTCTCTGTTGATAAATCCAAAACGGTAGATGTTATCAAATTTATCAAGCCAGATTCGAATGGAGGATATATAACTACATATAAATGTAAGTATTCTGGAAATTTTTAAGGCGAACTGAGTGCGGGTGTTACACTCCAAATTAACCGAATTCTTCCCTAATACTTGCTCATTAGGAATTCGTCAGTCTAAAATCAGAGAAACAATTCAATGATAGAATTTTTTCCATATACTACAAGTATATGTAACGATAGAAGTTCATGCAAACACTAGAAAAACGAAATGTAAAGCATAGAAGAACATTTAGTTATCATAATCTTTGAAATAATGAAGCTAAAATTGATTTATATAATGCTTGAAGAAAAAATAGAAATAATCGGAAACATTCAAAGAATAAAAATAACAGAGAGGGATAGTTTACTTCCAGTTATTTTGCTTGTAAAAAGGTATGGCTGAATGGTGAAGATGGCATACTCACCGTATGACCAAGAGATGGCAATGCATTCGAAGAAGATGAAAAGTAAAAGACAGATTCCACTCGCAGAATAATGTTCAAAGATCTGGAATACATAAATGCCTCCCTGCAAAACAAAGAAAAGAAAAATGACTACCTTTATACTGGAATTTAATGGGAAAAAAATTAATGAGTAAATGAATTTACGAGGAAAATTATTCAGCTTATTTTGGTACTAGAGATAAAGGTTTACGTTACGCGGTAGTTTATACGGATAGAAGAGAAAGATAATGATTAACTCTTGACTTGAACAGGTTAAGGTGGTAGTGATCAGGCGGAGGGACATCCTCTTGGGAGTCTGTTCTACAGAGTCGTGGTTCGTGGGAAGAAGCTGTTTTATTTTTAATAAAATTATCAAGAAATTTATTTTTTAATAAAGTAAATTGACATATAAAAAATAATTCAATAAAACACACTTGATTTTAATTATTTTTAATAAAGTAAATCGAAACATGTAAAACAAAATGAAGCAGTTTTTCGTTTTTTAATTATTTTTAATAAAGTAAATCGAAATTCTAATTTTATATATCAATTTAATTTATTAAAAAATAAATTTCTTTACGATTTACGTTATTAAAAATAATTAAAAACAAAAAAAAACTGATTCATATTTTACATAATTTCTTTTGAAATACCTTATTTGAAGAAAAATATTCGCTAATTTATTTTTAATCTTTAATAATTACTTTTATTAGGTTATAAGAAAAGTTGTTTTTCTGGTGCTGAGTTGTCTCAGCCCTGAGTCGGCGGTATTGAGGTGTCCTGCACCCTCTCTATGTACGTACCATGCAGTTTTTTGCCAGTAATTATGTTAATATACAACTGCATGGCATTAAAGGACTCTTTTCTACTGTTGACCTTAAATGTTGCACTTTCAGACGTTTTTTTTTTTTTTCATTTTTGACTTCTAGATGCTATTTATTTTTATAGTACTGTCCATGTCACTGTAAGTCTAAATCATTTTGATAGTCCTGTCCGTACCAATGTAATTAATTCAGAAATAATACAAACATACGAATCGCTTTTCATTTGCAATAATTTCTTCCTTGCCAAATACTGTTCATATTTAGGCAGTTTCAGTTGATTTTGTTCTCAAATTAAATTTGTACCGTAGACAAGCATAATAAACTTCTATCCCGTCATGCTGATGTCACTCGTTACCATGGTAAGTGTGTTTTTCTTAATGTTAAATTGAACATAGGATAAGCTGTACCAGAGGTAGCTTCTCCCAACACCGCCAATTGCTACAAAACTAAAACATTAACCTGAAAACTCGAGTCATGTTCTTAAATAGCCTCGTCAGATCGAGACATTCATATGGATGTCACGAATGGCGCCAAACCCGTTCAGGAATACTTACTGTGTCAGCTGTATACAACCACTTCCTAAGATCAATGATAGAATCCAACAACGTCTCCGCATCCTTGTGGGTGACAAATTAATTTCCGCCCTACAATTTCCCTCTTACAGACGAAATGTCGCAAGCCCCTCACTGCTCTATCGCTATTTACATGGAAAATGCTCAGGAGAACGGCATTCGTTAGTTCCACCAGTTTTAACCTTCACGACTAAGACCCACCATGCCACGCCCATTGTAGCGAATGACCCTAATTCCCTTGGTGAGAAGTAACTCCCACTCGAGCAGCTTCTTCCCACGAACTACTGCTCTATGAAATCGAATCCCAAGAGGATGTTTGTCTGATCACTACAATCTTGGCCTGTTTTGTTCTAGTGTTAACCGTTATCTTCCCCACATATCAGCCTAAACTGTGCCTGTAACGCTCTACCTCGAGTGGCTCCCAGACATTTACAGGGTGAAACTCACTGTAAGAAAAAAAATGCTAGCGGACTGTTGCGATTGAAGAGTGCATCCTTTTTACAGATACTAAAAATACAATATGAACAACCTTAATATTTTTTTAATTTTTTATTTTGATTAAGACAATACCAATGATCATCGTAAGATTCCATACACAGGACATTGCATAAACTTAAGAAATATTGTAGAATCTCATGAGGGGGTTCATATTATTGAAAACGAAAGGTTTGATAAAACCCCGATATTTGTGCTTCCTATTTTTCTTTTCGTAAGTCCTGAAATTGGAACAACTCGAATTGAAAAAAGAAAATGTTAATTCTAAAACAATATTAAGATAACCTCGTACGATTGAAATAAAATATATTTTTACTGATAGGAAAGAATTTCTTATACGCATAGGTTGACTTTGTTCTAAAATGAAGATTCTTACTGATGAAAAAGTTGCTGTATTACAAGATTGGTCTGACTAAAGTCCTGGCCTCCATGTTTTTTTTAATGGCCTGAGCAACACTGAGTCACCATGTTTGGATAAAATGAAATATACAGGTGTTAACTTACCTGAGTGACCATAGACAAGCCAATGAGGAAAGACACGAAGCAGACAATCGCAATAAATGATTCACGTCTTTTTCGCAGATGGTGAGGAAATTCATCAATCAGTGCAGTGAAAAATCCCTCCATTGTACAGAACTGCACAGAATAGAAAAAATGAAACAGTTAACACAACACTCGAGAATGAAATATGGAAGAGCGAAAGTATATTAATTTGTTGAAGTTCCACCAATTACCAGATGGTGAAATTTTAGTATGAAGTATTTTGCTTAATAAAGATGCTTACCAATGTAAAAAAAATTGCCGTATTACAAGATTGGTCTGAGTAAAGTCCCAGCCTCCATCTAATGTCAAAGTTAAGCTGAAGTTTCTGCTATGTCTTACTAGCAAAAATCTGTCTTTTGTCATTGCGTTTTCTGTAAGGTTTTCTATTTCGTTTGTCATTTATTGAGGACCATTCACCCACATTTGCATTCCATCTATTCTTACGTTTTGCTATATGGCCTGTCTACCTACAATTCCACGGCTTTATCATTTCTAGACTGTCAGCAGTATACAAACGCATTCTCAGATCAAGGGATAGTGAATGAAACCTGTAAGTCTCGGCGAAGACTATACTTGTGGCCCACAGAATCACAAAGAACAGTAGTAAATAACAGAAACATGACTTGAGGACTTTCAACACAAGCAATAGCTAAAATGGACATCACATGTAAATCGAAGAGAAAATAATAGACTTTCACACGGATGGCATGCATGACATTCAGAAATACCTACACAGCTGTATACAACCACTTCACAAGATCAATGGCGAAAAAAGGCCCTGAGACAATAAGGTCAGTGGGCCTTGGCAAAGATAATCCTTCTTTGAATATTATGGACTGGCACTACAGAAACACAAAGAACTGAAACTATATCACTTCAGGACAACCAGCAGCAGCAACAACTAAAATGGATAGCGCATTTAACTCGAAAAGAAAATAATAGCGTTGACACTATTACGAAGAAAATGTTAGGAAGGAAACACCCGATCACCACTAGAAAGAGCAATAAGAAATACTAGACTTGAGAAACCCATGTTTCCTGAAAAAATAGTTTTAAGAAAAAGATTTTCATAAGTATCAACCAACAGTGTCATGGCTGGTCCCTCAAAGAATTTCAAACGTTTCCTTATAATAAAAAAAATAACTAACATTACCATTACCATTATCTTACGTCATGTTGACCTCTTTTTATCTCTTTGAGATATTTCTGGCATTAATTTTTGCACTGATCTTTGTCCCATTCTGAGTTTGTTTTAAAAGCATAACGTACACACGTACACTCACATATTTATATATATGAATAAATAGCTTTAATTACCTTCCCAAACCAAAACAAAACTATTAAATAAGCGATATAAACAAAATTTTACTATGTTAATAAAACACCGATTAATATTAAAATAAATATATAACATAAGAAATAAAAAAATAAAAATGAATTTAAACCAAATAAATAAATAAATAAGCAAATAAACGACTTCCGGCAAAATAACCGCCAAAATAGACTACCCACAATGCACCACTGATCCGTATATATAAATAGCCGAGAAAAAAAACAACACCCGTGGCCTGACGATTGCCTCTAGCGTGAAATAGCCTGTCGCCTCTAAGTGTTGACTAGAATGTTCACTTGTATATTTACACACGTTCTATCTCTTATAGTGAGCACTTTATCCCATAAATATAGCACACCATAAGTGTATATTTCTTCATAGATAGATAGATAGATAGATAGATAGATAGATAGATAAAAGTGATCGACATTGAAGCCAGGGGCGACAGTCTGTTTCATGCTAAACGCAACTATCAGGCCATATATATATATATATATTTAGGCATCAATATTTCATTAATGCATGTTTCATTAAATAATATAGACAAGTTTTGTCTATTTATTTTAAGTTCCTTTCATATTGTCTGGTAAGCTTAATAGCATCAGCATTGAAAGACGAAAGGAAATCACCATATTGATACATTCTTTTAAATCCTATCTAAGCTTCCGGCTTACATAAGCCATTATCAAAGATGACAATTACATTTCAATATATCAACCAATACACGGACGAAACAATAATGATAGTCTGTTTTTGTTGTATGAAAAATTTCAAAGCAATGACTGCTTCGTGTATAGGAGACGCGGAAGCGAAAATCGCGTCGGAGGTCTTGACGTCACACATGACCAGGCGAGAGGGAAAACGAGAAGTCTTAAGTATGGGAAGCCGTTGGTATAAACCAATGGCATCTGTTATCAATTATAGGCATTTAAGAATATTTGTGGAGATTTCGTAGTTTATTTTGTATAACTTTCATTTTTAGGCCTTTAAAACAACATGCCTGGCCGCGTACACAATTCCGGAAAATTCTTTGTTGAAAACACAACTATACTTAACCAGGAAAACAATAAACAAAAACTAAAAATTCTTGAAGCTATATACGTAAAAAAATTGAAACCTAACCTGAACAAAATAAACTTTGAAAAGGAACGATTCTACACTGTAAAAATTGGTATGAATACCACGAATGTTGGCGACGGAAAGGTTAAGTGGGTTTAGGTGACATTTGCTGGCCTGGTTTAGGTTTATATGCGTTATGTTTTGCATATCTCTCTGCGTAGTAGTAGTAGTAGTACAGTTCTCCGTGTCCTGAATAACAACCGGGTTTGCTAGGCACAGCCACCCTATGTTCGCCAGTTATTCTCTATTTACATTTGTCTATCTAATTTGCATACGATATGTTCGGTTGTTTACAGTCATGATGTATTATATTAGTAAGGAGAAGGCCTAAGGTAGTACTAGCTGCCGGTCATTTGATGTGATATACGCCGAAAGGAAATAGAGCAGACTGCAACATAGTATCAGCTCGGGGTTGCCCACCAGAGGTACCTGCAGGGACACCCTTCCATGTGCGACATGGCACTGCAAGAACTCTGATATTATGCAAATGTTGATCAGAGCAGAGCAACATCTCAAGACGTTACGCAAGAATTCGGGCTCCTAACTACCAATCGGGAACAGCAACCAGAAAACTGCCAACTCAGTACCCTCAGAATGAAAAAAAAGTTGCCACCAACCACATACATCACAAGAAACCACAATTAAGGCCTGATAAGAGAAACGAAGCCGGAAACCCCTTCTTTCACAGGAAACAATGTGTGAGTCTCTACTCTTGTCCAAAAGAAGGGGGAAGAATATGAGTGACAATTTACTGTTAACTTTTTCTATATACAATTTTTTATAATCACGTTAGAATTCTTAAGCAAGAATTAGTACTCTGAATTTGTACTGAAAAATTAGTACTATGAATTTGTACTGAAGTATTAGTATTATAAATTTATACTGAATAATTAGTACCATGAATTAGTATTAAAGTTACTCAAATAGTTGCTTCAAATCTTTGTTTAGGTTTGATAAATACAAAAAATAGCTTTTCTGCCTGGATTTCTTGGCTGGTGTGTTATTTAAATTAGGACTATTTACACTCTGTACTGCCCAGCGCAGGGATTCGATTCACACGTTCTATGTCACTTAATTTACGAACCAACGCTGATATGATATTACTCCGCGGATTTTAGTGCAGACTTAGACTCATTAGAAAAAAAGGACATCAGTAACTGACGAGTACTAAATATGAACGAGACGACATATCCTTAGATATGGACAACTGGAACAAGAACACTAACCCCATTGATTAACTAAAAGGTTTAATTCGAAATTCTTCGAAGGTTGCCAGAATCGAAAGGCACTTGATAAAGGCCGAAGAGAACAACGGCCGGAATGTTGCAGTAATAACAGCAAAGATAGGGGAAATAGTCCGCGTGTAAACAATTTATATAATAACAAAAATACATTTCTATGTCATTAAACGAGTGACAGAAGTTATTTCAACTCGGAACTAATTTCACGACGGAATTAATTTCAACTCGATTTAAAATTAAAGTTATCAATTTACGTGAATTACTAAACAAAATGTAATGACTTGGTGTTAATTTTTTAATTTAACATTAAAAATTCTTAGTAGTTAAAATAATTCAGAATTCATTTTTCTGCAAATTTCTTTCTTTTCTGTTGCAAATAAATAAAGTGGTATTTTTTTATTTATTTTTATTCGTTTAAATTTGATCCAATAAAAACATAATGTTCTTTGTAGCAAGAACAGTAGATTGCTTAGCTGTTTTTTTGTTTTAGTTTTTTGTTTTGTTTTTTTGTTGTTGTTTTTAAAAACTCTCGTTCAAAAGAAGGCTTTATTGATCAAAATTTAAGAAACTCAATAAATTAAATTTTAATTTCGTTTAAAATCTTCACAGATTTATTGAAATTTAAATCTATGTACTGAGGATTTCACAGATTTATTTCACGTTCGTAAATAGAGAACTCTAGCTGAAGTTAGTTCCGAGTTGAAATTAGTTCCGAATTGAAATTAATTCCGAATTGAATTTAGTTCCGAATTGAAATTAATTCCGAGTTGAAATTAATTCTGCACCCCCCATTAAACCAGTAGAATTGGTAGAATTCTTGAATAAATCATAAAAAACGTATTTTTGTTTAATTCAACGTTTTTCTATTTTACTTTTCTTTAAGTTACCGTATATATTCGAGTTTTTATTATCATTTTTTATGCAAAAATAAGTAATCGCACATTACACTGGTAATATTTTTGAAGAGGTTAAAACTAATGCATTTTCAGAAATGAGAGAAAACAAAAGTATGGTATTTAAATCTTCGTCTCAGATATTTTACGGTAAGTGCTTTCTTCTCACCATTTTGGGGTAGCTTTGTACAAAAAAAAGAATGCAGACCATTTATTTGCAATAAAATATGCCTCAGAAGATGCCCAATACTGCAACATTTGACTACAGTAGGCGTACTAGTATTGCTCAGAAGTTGCATTATACACGAGCTATATGAAAAATCGGGTTCTTCACTAAATCATTCAGGGATTACACTTATACATGAAGTAGGCTTTTGATGTAATGAATATGCATACACCTGCATCCCCTTCACAGTAATATGATTGGCTGGTGTCAGCCATAAATACAGACTGATGTAGAGGCACATGGCGAACGCCTATTGGCTACGCCTATTGTCTTCGACTATTGCCTACCACTACGACGAGGACCAGTCCATTATGATTACATGCTAGATTGTCCTACCGGGTTACAGTAGTCCCCAAACCACTTTGCTACTTCGAACAAATATATCCCTTTCCGGGACATATCAGCTTTATACACGATTATATACAGTAGTTGCTTATAAAACATATTTGTGCATTTGAGATGATTAATAGTTGAATATTAAGGCTAAGAGGCGCCTTTCGATTAAAGCATCGCGTTTATGTATTTATCAATTACTTTTTAGTAATTAGTTTTTTTTTTGTCAACATACCTGGCTGTCCATACCGAGGAAAAGAATCATCAGGAAAAAAAGAACTGCCCAGAGAGGAGAGAACGGAAGTTGGACAACAGCCGATGGATACGCCAAAAATGCTAATCCAGGTCCTGATAAGAGAAAGAAACGAAATCAAACAGGCAGACAACAACAAAATGATGTATACCGGTAAAAACAAAGCGAGAATGTTCCGCAGTAATTACATATAGATATTAATATAACGACAATGCTACATAGTGTTATTGTAACAGTATATCATTGTTGTATATTAACCCTATAGATTCCCCTGTGGAGTATAGTTGTTGCGTTGCGACTCAGACCAGACACCTAGTTCATTGACAGGGAGCAGCTTCTTCCAGTCAAATGCTTGTGGCTTGAAAATTACCCTTCGGCAAGATAGTTACCCACGAATGAAAAACAAAACAATAGGAGTAAACCAGATTTTATTCTTGGGTTGAAACCTGATATAAGCGAGCGAACTTGGTGTAGGTGCACAGTCTAGCAGTTGTCTTCCCTATCCGTTCTCCGAGGCTCGCTTCGTTTCTCTGTCTTTTGGGCGTACTGGTCAGTTTTATAAATAACAATATTTTTTGTCTTGTCATCTTCGTCTAAAAAAGTAATTTATCTTCATTCCTTGACTTTCTCTCAGTCTGAGCCTCTTGCTCTGTACTTTGAAATTGACTTCACTTACTGATAGCCATCGGTCGGAAGTAAATCTTCTGAATGCATTTCTGCGACAGGTTCAGCTGTTTTCAATTTAACAAGACCTCAGTTGACTGATATTGCTACATCGGGCCACAGCCTCGCTACATTAGGTGTTGCTGTGGTGGTTTCAAGTAAGTTTTTAGAGAGTGGAGTTGCTAATCCTACACTCAACCGGTTTAGAATTCAGAGCTACTTATCTTTTACTTTTGCCAACCAAATCTACGGGTTAAATGGCAGGACTTGTATCTGGAAAAATCATTGTTATTTTCAAAAAACTGTTAATGCAATATTCGCCCACCAAAAAAATTAGAATTATTTTGACAATACAATATATGTCTCGTCTTTAAATTCCCCACAAAAGGTTGATAAACCGTAAAAATCAATAAAAAAACGAACAAACAATGGTCGTTATTAACCAGTTCGGATAGGAAATAAAGAATATGCTTGCTTTGCTTTGTTTTGTCTTGTTTTACGACATATCCTCAGTGGGTTATTTAATGCCGACAAGATTTTTTATTGCTGATATTTTGTTTTCAAAAATGTATAGCTGATATTGTAGTAATAATTTGCTAATAATAATTTTTTACAAAATATTTCTGGTATTATAGTGTTTTAACCCTAATTTGGGGATTAACTATTTACCCATAGCTGGGACCCTAACAGGTGCTAAAACTCCAGGTCAGGGTGGATCTATGAACACCAGCAATTAAGAGGTGGTTCCACGCCCCTCAAAACCTCCTGATCAAAGGCCTTGCTGTTGGACGTATCATTTTACCCAGGTCGTGGATGTAGTTTATAGTCATACCCAGGACGGGAATATGCTTGCCGTGAGAGTCAAATGTATTCTAGGGTAATCTACCTGACTGGAATAATTGTCTTGCTTATTCGTATGACGATTTGGGACTAGCGATAAAATGCTATAGAAATAACTGTTAATTGACAATAGTTCATCAACAAAATGCAAATAATATTACTTATATTATTCTATAGTCATTATTCATGTATAATTTTATTTGTTTGTATATTGTACGTAATGAGACATAATGGATCGGCTGAATAGGAATATTCATGGGAAATCTTTTTCCCTTTATTACCCAAGACTAAACAATGAATAAAAGATGAAATTTAAATAAAATTTTCACATACAGGAGTTTTTTTAAGCCATAAAAGGTCGTAGACGATCATGACTCTCTACATATATTTCTTTTATCATCTGTGAATTGCTATGCATCCTAGGGAATATAAAGTGGGGTGGATTCTCGTTTAATTCTCCAGTTTTGAATTTAGATCTGTTGCCACCCAAAGCTAGAAGACCCAGTCTATCCAGCTATTTACCACATGCCATCGTATCTTCTGTCAATTATCACAATAATTATGCATTTTCAGAGAGAGAGAGAGAAATGTTCGTCTTACCAGACTCGGCAACCTTATCGACTGGTTGTTTCTGTTCGTAAGCCATGAAGCCAATGACAGAGAAGATGACGAATCCAGAGAAAAGGCTAGTGGCGCTGTTTAAGAATGAGATAACTACGGCGTCCCTGAAAGTAAATGGAGATAAAAGTTCAATGAAAGTTGCCTTGAAAAAAAAAGAGAAATAATATATATATATATATATATATATATATGCTTGTCTGAATCATCTTCAAGAAGCGAGAGCAAGATCTAAAAGATCAGCCAATCTAAGAGTGATCTCATCCTACAATCCTCACACTTGCTCCATATGTGGCCTCCTTTGTAAATCACTAGCGGGTCTTAAATGCCACTTAAGATTATCGCACAAAATTTCATAACTGAATCAATTAAGCTGTCAGATTCTCATACGTCGAAACGGACGGGAGAGTCCATTATTAAATATATATATATATATATATATATATATATATATATATATATATATATATATATATATTTATTCAAAAATTATTACATAAATATGTTATAAAATCACTAGAAGAGTTAGTACTTATCCTAAATTCAATGGAGAAGGGTATGTGCTTAATAACAGAAGTGGGTGGTTGGGATTCGTATGTACACATACCGGGTTAGAATTAACCTTCACATAAGGTTAAAAAGAGCTTTTCGTAAGGTCTAGGGAGACATCCAGAAAATCTACCTGTTTAATGTTGGTCGTAACTATAGTATTAAGACCTAAATCCTTAAACTCCCTATGGATCATTTTTTCAATGCGATCTACCTTAATTTTTGTAGAGTCTTTAACTACTAATAACCCATCATCTCTATATAATTCTACACTATTAGAAGCTAGACATTCAAAGGCACTTAAATTGAATAAAAGAAATAATCCCACCAAGCTTGATTTTATAACATATTTATGTTATACTGATTACATATATATATATATATACTTTACATTTGGAATTAAGATACATTTAGTTAATGACCATTTTCACCTACGAATTTTAATTTAAAAATTTGCAGGATTTTTCAAACTGTTTATGGTATCATTTTGTAGTTGGATATTGGCTAGTTGGGGAGAAAAAGAAAGGGGGGTGTTAAAAGGGACATGATGGGAGATATGGCAGAAGAAGGAACCGTTACAGGAATCATATTATGGAGGTAGGAGAGCCTCGATAGGGGGAAAGGAGGAGAAACTGATGAGCTGACCTACATCCTAATGGTCACCCGACCAAAGTTTGATTCAACTGGAGTCAGTTTTAACATATTTCCAATTCTATATTGTGTTAATAGGACTCGCCTGGATTATACGAACAGGTTACTACCCGAATATATATATATATATATATATATATATATATATTAAGCATTTCACCCCAAGCAAGGCGGGAAGCCACTAGGACGCAAGGGGTTACAGAAAATTTAGAGCAAGATCAGATAGGAGTGATAGAAGAAAGGATGAGGGTAGTGGATAGATCAAGGCAACTGGAGATGTCGATTGACATTACACTTGAATAGCTGAAGATTATAGCTCACAGGGAAACCGGAAAAGGGAAGGGAGTTCCACAGGCGAGAGGTGCGAGACATGAAGCTATTAGAGTAGAAGAGACGGCTATATTTAGGAGTTTCGACAGTGAAGGGGTGAGAGCGGGATGCCAGCCTCGTGAGGCGCTGGAACTCGTGACGTCTGATATATATATATATATATATATATATATATATATATATATATATATAACCTTGCACCTATGTATGGTGTGTGTCGCGCTTGGTATCCTTGATACTGCGAGGAGAAACAGAAAGAGAGAGGAACATAGAGAATAAAAAGAAGAAGAGCGAGAGAGGCGTAAAGAGATAAAAGAGAGTGCGATGCAGAGAGAGAGAGTGGGGATGGGAGCGGGGTTCATTTGAGATAAAGGCAGTTGTTTACAGTGACAGGTTATATCATGTTTCATGACTTAATGACCTGTTGATGACAAATTAGGCCCCTAAACTGGGATTGACTTTTGAAATTAAAATATTTCTTTAATAATAATAATAATAATAATGATGATGATGAAGCATTTTGTAGTATAATAAAAGTAGATGATGTTCTAATCAAAAATCATCAGCCTTGAAGATAGCGTTTAAGACTGTCGCTGAATATTGATCTCAGTGTCTACTGTTATATTGACATACGCTCTATCCCTGATATAGAGCACTTTAACTCATACATATGCCATACGTTTAAACAAACTATATTTATCATAGATAGATAGATAGATAGATAGATAGATAGATAGACCTAAAGGGCCAGATAAACCTACCAAGGTTTCACCTAAGCGGATCGTCAGGGAATACTGGCTGCAATATTCCCTGACAATCCTTGGTAGGTTTATCTGGCTCTTTAGGTTTAATTTGGTTTGCTCTACTTAGCGTATTGAGCACTTTACTCAGTTATTTTACTTACTCGTATCAGTTTTTTTTTCTTTGGACTCTGAACTTGGATGCTAGATGATTGTCTTCGGCTGACGTATATATTCTTTTCTTTTTTTGTACCTTTTTTTTCCCCTTGGGTATTGGTCTGCTTATTTACATATCAAAGTACCCAAGGTTTTCCGGACGAGTATAATTTCTTATATTTATAAGCTTATTACTATTAATATATATATATATATATATATATATATATATATATATATATAGAGAGAGAGAGAGAGAGAGAGAGATCCTAATAATTATTATTCATAGAGCACTGTTTTATTGCCGCCAGCACTCACCGTACGATATATATATATATATATTTATATATATATATATATATGTGTGTGTGTGTGTGTGTGTGTGTGTGAAATATATAAAAACGTAAACCCAGGGTCACAAACTGTTGTGTTAAATAAGTGGAATAATACAACACAAAATGTGTTAACAAAATGTATTGTGGTACACAATATTTACAGTTAGTTTGGTATATTCTTGGGAAGACTGTTCCTGCATAATGGGTTGACTAAATCGCAGTCATTTTAGAGTCTCTGGATTCAATTTCTTAATCTCTACTATCTTCCCCGTCTTCCGGTACCAACCCATATTTATATGGTCAAGTCCCTTGAATATAAATTAGGTTAACGGTACATATCATATCCAACCAAATATATATATATATATATATATATATATATATATATATATATATATATATGTGTGTGTGTGTGTGTGTGTGTGTGTGTGTGAGAGAGAGAGAGAGAGTGTGTGAGAGAGAGAGAGAGTGAGATGGAGAGAGATATGTGTGCTTTTTATTTTTTAAATATGTTCTTCGTAGTTACTTTTGACCTTCATAAGTCCAGTTTTGAAATTGCATTTTCCTTTGTATGAACAAGCATTATATGTTGATTTGAATTTCAAGAATTGTTTAAGGAAGTATTTTCTCTGTGCACCAAGGAGAATATTCGTATTAACAGAAATGCAATTCTCCCTGTCTTTTACAGTTCTTAAAAAGAAAATGTATTTATTTCCACAAAAGAAAAGTCTGATAAGATGAAAATTAAAACCTCTTCTAACTTGCCGTTTTTCCTCCTGTTCTTGCACTTCCGTTCAGTTTGTGCCTAAACTTATTAATGTAATGCGAGAACCGATGCTTCATTGGGCTATAATAAGCTGTTCAAAACAGGTTAATTGTCGCTATATCGAATGTAATAATAAAAAAAAGGTCTTAGGATAAATAGATGACTTACTTGTAGACGTTGTTGTGGTAATTGTTGTAGCTGCCCAAAGCGATCAAGGAGCCAACTCCAAGACCATAAGAGAAAAAAATCTGAGTTACAGCGTCTACCCAAACCTTAAACAAATGAAAAAAGATATTTTAATTATCATTCATTTGTCATTAATGTAAACGGATGAATCCGAGAAGACAGACAATTCGAAATATATAGAAAAGTATGCGCGCACACGCACGCACACACACACGCACACACACAACTATAAATATATACTTCTTAGCTCTGTCTAACCACACTGAGCAATGTTTTGTTTACGCCTTATATTAAATTGAGTAAATATTTATTCCCTTACCTGTGTTAACACGCCAACGCACGTATATACGGTTGCTAATATCTAGTTATTTAATTTATCAGCATTGATACCTATATGTGTGTGTCTTAGTGTATATATATATTACATGAATCATTCATACAAAAAGTAGATTAGTAATATTAATGATATAAAATGGCGAAAAACTTCTTCGCAAACATTTTTTTTTCACTCGATGAATGTTATGATCCTTGTTTTTAATAACTACAAGTTGTATAAGGTCTTTTTTATTCTGTTAGTACTTTCAGCTGTACATACAGCCATCCTCAGGCATGGAAATTATTTTGTTTTTAGTAAATCCAGGTAGCATTAGAGACGAAAGATTAAATGTGAATCGAAATATGGTTTTTAGAAATGTGTAACCGCTAAAAACTTTTGGAGCGTGCAGTCGCAACGCTAAGGTTGAATTTTTACTAATATCGTAATTTGAGATTTTTTTTTTTGTTGTAGGAGGTTATATATATATATATATATATATATATATATATATATATATATATATATATGTATGTATGTATGTATGTATATATTAATAAATGCAAAGGAAAACATCCTCATGTGGATTTTATGAAGGTAAATGTAAGGATTTTAATTTTTTTAAAGACGCCTTTATTTTTTCAGAATGTCGTTCTTAGAACGCTCGTGAATATAATTCAGGCTGCCTGTCAAGGTAAATTATGGAGGATGCTAAGGGATATAATTTAATGTTTCATAGACGAAAGGGAGTAAATCTTATTATTTTTATTCTTTTTTTAAATAGTTTAATTATTATTGATATTATTTTAATTTGAGATTAATTTATATATAATATTTTTTAAATACTAGAAGGTTATAACCGTAGTTTAACTTAATCTTTTTTTTTCATAGCCATGTATGTATTCGAGGCGCAGTTTTATATTTCAGTAAGATTCGATAACAGCACTCTTAGGAAGTTTTAGGCTTAGTAGGGGCGGAGGAGTAATGGATAGTGGCACGGATTGTGGAATCGGAGAGCCGGGTTCGAATTCCATCTGAATCCGTTACATTCACTTGTGTGCTAATACCCTTGGGAAAGGTATGAATCCTCTTTTTTTCTTCCCAGCTATGGATAAATAGCAGAACAGACCAGGTTCTATAGCCTTAGATGGCAACTGGTCTACCGCTGAAAGAAATGCTGCGGGGAAATAAATTTGCCTCGTCAGTCATGTATCGAAAGGGACATAACTGACGGAAGTTACATTTTTTTTTTTCTTAATAGAGAATGGCATTCGTTACTTGTAGTTGAATTTATTTCTGCGTATGAGTAATGCATTTGATAAATTGTTTAATGTAAGATTCTTGCTGCGTTCATAGACCTGCAATTTTTACGAATTTTTTAAATTCTGAAAAATTAATGAGATTTTTACTTCTGTTTATGAATTCTTCTTGCAAAATAAAAATCCTTACATCGGCTTTGATAAAGCCCATCAGAAGACGAAACGCGTCGGCTAAGATAAATTTTCCTTTTGGCTTTTATTCATATTATCTTTTTACAGACATATTTTTTTATTTATATCTAAAGAGAGAATGTGTGGGTGGCTGTATTTTTTTTCTTACCTGAGAATCAGTAAGGCGGTTAATGTTGGGATAAATGTAGTAGCGAATACCATCAATGGCACCCGGAAGTGTAATTCCTCGAATTAAGAGAATGAAGAGAAGAACATAAGGAAAAAGTGCTGTAAAATAAACAACCTGAAATGGAAGAGAGATAAAAAGACATATTTTAACATCAATAAATTGCACGACAGCGAATCGATCATGCTTTAAAAAAAACATTAACTTCGAACAAATCAGATTTAGGTCGTTTCAATTAACGAAGACAAAAGCAAGAAAAAAAAAATAATTGAAACAGATTTTTTTAAAATAATGTGATCAGTTTTGCTGTTAAAATAGTTTGGGCTTAGTTTAGTCTGGCACAAGGTACAGTAATCTGGCGTTTAATAAGGAGCAAACAAAAGTCCATAAAAATAGTACCAAGGCACTGTTGTAAGCCTCGAACACACTATTATATATTTAACGTGCCTGTTAACTTAGCCCGGCTATAGTTATTGGGTGTTCAGTAAGGATAGAACACGCAAATTATATCTGCAGTTTAGCTTGGCCTGGGAAAAGGCCAATGTAGTATTTTTCAGGATGCGGTCAGTGGTCATTATTTTACGTATTAAGTATTTTATCTCTATATGGCACAAGGTTACATTAGTGTGATACTTCCTAATGGTCAAACTCACTATTAAACTATGTTTTGTTTACTATAGTCAAAGGTTCCTGCAATTGGATGTGTAGTAACTCACTAATTATCTATTAAGGGGTGAGAAGATTGTTTTTTATGGGTTTTTTTTATCATTTCACCGCAAGCAAAGTATTAAAGTCACTAAGACGTAAGGGGTTAATGAGTGTAAGAGAATATAATAAAAATACACTATTAAATAGAGAAAAACAATAAAAGAACTGTACAAGAATTACCGAAACAGTTCAATAAAAAAAATCACACTAAATCATGAAATACCTTCATGGGGCATTTCTTTGTACTGTAATATCAAATTTGTCTCGCTAGAACAATTACGACTGAGTATTGAGTTCTATCTTCACTAGGTGCTCATAATTTCGGCCTTGTGTCACATCTGAGCTACACCATAAAACTCCTTCATGGAGACGGAAAAATATCAAAACTTAGTCAATTGAACCCCTCATTTATCTGATTGTTTCTCAGTTTACGCAAAGCATTGCTTCCCGTGGTCGTCATTAAAGAACAGACTCGTTACTTAATATTTCCCGGGTAGAGAATAGGTTCTCTATAAACATATTCAATGAAAAAAAAACAATGTTTAGTACCGACTAAAAAGGAGAATCTATAACCGAAAACCAAGACCACACCTTAAAATGTTATACTTCATATTTTGGAAATATGAAGTGTGTATATCATGAAGTGCTAAATCAAAATGAAACAGTGAATGGTGGTGAATTCTTGTTGTCAATTGTAAGCATCATAAACATTTTGGGAAAAAAAGCTCTGATCAATTGATTAATCGTAAATCGTGTTGCTCTTACATGTTAGTACCGAACACATAATGCCCAAGTTACTCAGGAAAAGATTATGAAACTAAATATATTAAACTTGTACCTCATTCTTCTTATTTTATTGCCCTTGCTCCATATATCATATTTCCAGATCATTACAACATTTTTAAGCGGGGGTGGAGCAATTAATTGTGAAGAGATTAAAATTAGTATTTTGTGTTTGGATCGAAACCTGAATAATTTTCCGCTCCACGTATCAAAATCTTTCACATAGATAGCATTACATTATAGATAATGAAAGGGAAATATTATCTTGTTTCAATTAATCAATTAAGAGCAAAGAAGCAGTTTTTCGCTCGGAATCGTTAATCGGAGAGTCATTTTCCAACTTGAGTCAGGTTCATTATATTCACTTACACGCAAATATCTTTGTGAAAGGTATGAATTCATCTACCCACCCTTCCCAGCTATGGGTTAAATAGTAGGACTTGTATCAGTAAATCATTATTATCACCAAGAAAAACTTCTAACAGTTTAAAAATATTTTGTCTTTAAATAACGTGCAAAAGGTTCATAAGCCGTAAAAAAAAAACTAATCAAATCTCTTTATCAAATATCGTTGTATATCACTGACTAGAGATTTTGTCATATTCACAAGAAGTGGTTATAAAATTTCCAAGAGGTCATCAGGAATTCGAACCCGTTTTTTTTTTATTATTATTTCGCTTCTTGCCTCAATAATCGTTATACCAACTCGAAGAAAATGTTATAAAACAAAAAAAAACGTTCAAGTTTCTAATGGAAGAAAAACAGATCTTACTTTTCCGGTCCATTTGACACCTCTCCATATGCAAAAATAACAAAGCACCCACGCTAAAAGCAAGGTAGCCGCCAATTCCCAACATAGACCCCCAGTTTCTGTGATTCCTGATGTAGATTGCAAAGCACGGTTCCTGTAAAATGACAAGAATGGGCAAAAGATTATATAATTTTAAAAGAAAGATGCATTTTATATTTTGAGGAAAAAAATACGAGACACAAAACCAATTGTATAAATAAATGTTTCGTCAAATACATGAATGCAATGTCAAGTTATAAACTATAGATTGGGAGAATATGATACATAAATTTGTATATATCAAAACAGTTTTAGGTATTTGAATAATAAATTGGAAAGCTTCTATGCAATGTGTTTCTTCCTCTAAAAGGACTTCATCAGTCTAAAGCGATGCTGTTATTAATGGAATTAAACTGAGTAACAAAATTTTGACTTTTGTGGTCTTTGCTCAGTAAGTGATATTCCCTAATTACTTATGTCTAAAAAACAACGGAAATGGTTATTATTCCCTTCAAACTTTGCTCTTATGACCTGGATCGAGAAAAAAATAAAGCCATAAAATTCACAATCCCACGAATGTGGACCTTCTCAAAAACAGAGCTGGCAAGAAAGCAGACCTTCTCTCATCCATCGCCACAGTGCAACACTAACCTGAGCTCCCCGTACTCACTCAAGAGAGAGCAGCCGTTTTCAAAAAGAAAACAGCAATTCAGAAGAGGATGACGTCATCGATCCCGATAATATAGGCGTAGCTGAGGGAAGAAACCCACACTACCCCACCCCACAAAATAATCTCAACGATCTGATCTTAGCCTGAAAAAGTCCAAATGCCGAGCCTTTGAAGTCGAGAGTCAAGCAATAGAATTATTACAAAAAAGTGTACAAGTCGCAGGTCAGAGAAAGTGTCACCAATGTTTTTCAAGCTTTTTCACCTGTCAAAATGGCCTTTCTTTCTGCTACAATATAACCGATACGTTCGAGGCAACTGGAATCGCCTGTAACCCCAGCAAGTGGAGCCTCTTCATCGACAGCTCGTCCAGTAGCCTTAAACCCATGCTGATTCATAACATGTATCCATCTCTTCCCCTAGATCACTCGTTGCAGCCCCAAAAGGAACACAGCAGTGTCAAGATATTGGTAGATGCCTTGAAATATGAAGAATACTGTTAGGGGGTTACCGGAGACTTCAAAATGGTGTCGATCCAGATGGCTCTCCAAGGCAGCTTTACCAAGTTTCCGTGTTATCTTTGCCTTTGGGACAGTAGGGACACCACGGAACACTACCATAGGAGGAACTAGCCACAGCGGATCAAGTTCCTTGTTCGGAGGAACAACGTCAAATGGTAGCCACTGTTAGATCCTCGGAAAGTTTCCCCACTGTACTTAAAATTGGCCTTATAAAACAATTTGGCACAGCTCTACATAAGGAGTCTGAAGACTTTTTCCCTAAGATGTCTGCAACAAAAGTCAAAACCAGTGTCTTCGTTGGACCACAAATAAAGATCACAGAGTGCAAGGAATTCCCCAACAAGTACACTAGGATGGAGAAAGCAGCTTTGTCTCAGGGCTTCCTAAGGAGTTTGTTGAGACCCCATTGAAGAACTACGCCAAAATGGGTTGTAGGGTGTCCCTCAAAGTCTACATCCTTGACGTTCATCTTGATAAATTCAAGGAGAACATGGGGGTGTACTTAGAGGAGCAACGGGATCCCTTCCACAAGGATATGCCGCTAAGGATCGTATAACGAAAACATGATGGGAGACTATATTTGGGTGTCTGATTCTTGAAAGTAATTTACAGTATAAGCGTAAATCGTGAAAAACTACTCACTTCTAAATTTTTAGTGGTCTCTCTTGTGCATTCCTCGAATAAATAAATGATACTTTTGAATCAAATGACGTTTTGTTCCTACTTTTCATGAACGAGAATATTTTCCAAATGGGAATAGACCCATTTCAGAAAGACCATTATCCTGATCACAAAAGCAAAGTTTGAAGGTAATATTAGTCATTTGTCATACTTTCTAGGCGTAAGCAAATAGAAAATAAAAGACACTACCCAAGGACAAAGATCGTTATACGTAGAATATTCTACGGAGGTAGACTGTTCTCATTCCGCTGTTACTGCTCGTCCTGCTCCCACTGAGTTCAAGGGTACCAATTCTTTAATCTACTAGGCTATTGTCCCATAGTTTAAATTAATGGTTCACTTCGAAATTCTGAAACGTTGTAATAATATTTAAAACAAGGACAATAGTAGTCGTTTTAATAATCGCAGAAATTCAGCGAAGCTACAACATTTATGCAAATTAATTGAAACAAAACGAATAATTCCGTTATTATTTACTTTTTTCTCGTATTTTTCCAATGAAACATGACCCAGTGCACATGTTAGTACTTCGTATGTCCATTCCACAAAGTCGTTCCTTGCAGATTGACCACAGATTCTCGATTGGATTTAAATCAGGAGAGTTTCCGAGCCAGTCTGTAGTACTTTGATTTGCTCACTGGTAAGGCTTGCCAGTGGGTTTGTGCAGCGTTACAATTTGCGTACACTTCCTTAGAGTAACGTGCATCGAAGACAATGGCCGCCCGACTAATAATCGACAATCGAGACTGTAGTGTCAGGGCGTGATAAAAATCTGATGCAATCACGGATGACGCAATATTTTTCAAGGCCAAACAAATTTCATCATACGTAAATCTATTCATATTAATGCACACCACTGCAAATGACCTAATCCGAGGAAAAAAATAGAAATCGTTTACACCCTGTCACTCCAGTGGGTCTAAAACTGACCGTATGGTGAAAGAAAGGAAACTAAAGCGGTTGTTTCAATTAATTTGCCCAAGGGTGTATAAATTATGTTGAAGAAAAAATAACTTTAATATTTCAGTATCGGAAACCAAGTTCTTTGGATTTGAATACCGACACTCGGTGAAAGATGTAAACTCTCTTCACTCGTTTCATCCACCTCGGGTAGAATACAGCAGAATCGAATTTATTGCTTTAAAATCATTAATGTTCAGTAATCTTCAATTCCCAATCCATAAGCAAATATATCAGCTTTTTACCCGATGTCATTCTAAAAGGAAAAAAAAATCAACATTGGCTTCATCGTTCTATTGAGACTCCGGAAGTCACGTGTCTGTAATGGTTAATGGCATGTACGTCCATGAATTTGTCAATCGTGTGACCGTTATTTAGTTGTGGCACTCGAAATCGGGGCACGTTCAGGTGGCTGACGTCTCTGAGAATGACAGTATACCGCAATTCACTGATACAAATTTATTGCAGCTTGCAACTAAAAATGTCAGACGTTATTATACCTGTAACAGAACTGCTGAAGCGGGGAAGACAAAAATTAAAACCAATTTGAATATTTTTTACTACTATTACAACTATACAAGTAACAAATTTATATCGACGAGTTGCGTTGGTGGGCTTTAAGATATATCAACGCATTTAATGTCGAAATCTACTTTTTCTTTATGCTTGAATCTGTAGGTAATCATTGGTCGGTTTTATACTTGGGTCTATAGACAAATATAGGCTGTGTTTATATTTGAGGGTATGCACAAGAATTGACTGTGTTTTTCCTTAATTTTATAAGGCTAACATAGGTTGTGTTTTTACTTGATTTTATAAGCAAGCATTGGATAGATTTATATTTGCGCCTGTATGTAATCATTGGCTAGGTTTATATCTGAGTCTTTGAGTAAACATATGCCGTGTTAATAGCAGAGTTATAAGTTTATAAATAAGCAACGGTTGTGTTATTTCTGAGTCTTCAGGCAAACATAGGCTGTGTTTATACTTGAGGTTAAAGGTAAGTATTAGTTATGTCGACTCAGTAGGCAAACATAGGTCAGGCTTATACACAGCTTAAATACAGGTCTTGTTAAATTTAGACAAGACCTGTGATTGCAAACCCTGTTTGAGCCAATAAGCAAACAGCGGTCGTCTATACCTGATTTTACAAGCATGGTCTCTTTGTAGGAATCTTCTCTCTATGTCGGGACTGCAATCAGAGTATTCTATACCCTGCGAACAGGACAATTAATTAGCAAGTGTAATATTACAGTTAATGTAACTGCTACAACTTTAGTCAATGGCTAACACGAGTTAGCCACGTTTTGCCACGGTTGTTGCAGAGAAAGATTTAACTTGTGTAATATATATGAACTTCTATTTAAATTCTAGCGTTTTGTCTTCGTTTCTTCGCTTCATCGATATTTTTTTTTGTTTTTTTTTCTGTTTTTTTTTTTTGTGGGATTCCTCAAAAAGGTAGATGAAAAAGAAGAGTGTTGCTGTGTTTTTCCTACCAGCAAAATTTAGTAGCAGCTGGGGGTAACCGTTTTTCTGTACACTATTCCGTGGTCTTTTCCTTTATTTCCGGCATATGAACTGGTTACCGGAAGGTACGGGTTTTAACAGTCAGCTTTTATCCCCGACGCGTGAACTGTCCAGCTGCAGGTATGTGTTGTGGACGACGGCAACTGAAAAGTTCTTAGTGTAACTAATGATTTTTGATGCGCAGGTAGCGTGACGGCTACCGGCGCTGAAAGTTAAATCAGGGAGCCGGGTTCAAATTCCAGCCTAAAATGTAGCATTTACTTTCGCACTAATACCCTTGAACAACGCATTATCACTCCCCGCTCAGTAGAGCTTGCCGCTCATATTCGTGCACAACAGTCTGTCAGAGTGGCACATTTTGGATTTTAACACTACCACAGCCCAAACTGAGATTTATACAGTGAATCTGCGTAAATGCTCAAATCCTTGGTCCTGATTACTCGTGACTTCGTGCTAATACCACCAGAGACCGCTTCCGTCTACACCGTTTCACTTAAAAAGCTTGGGCCAGGCCATGGGTATGGTTTACACACACCTCCCAATGGCGCCGCAAGTTGTTATCGTCTTCACAGGCCGACATTATCAAGAGTTCACGTTGAGAAATAGACCGTGGTGTGATTTGAACCTGATTCTCATGGTTGGAACACTAAAGGTCTAATCGCTTAACTGTTTTACTCCTAGTTATGCGCTCACAGTAGATAGAGCTCTCCAGTCTTGCGGGACAGTCTCAGAAAAGGAATCTCTGAATTCAACTTCCTCGAGAAGGCAATGGTAAAGGGCGCCACTATTTTAATGAATAAGTCATGGAAATGCACTCATATTAAACAAATGGAGGGCAAAGATCTAGATTCTGAAGAAATATGGCATTAAGAAATAAATTGTAATCGTTTTTTTATGATTCTTTCACCTCAAGCAAGGAAATAAAGTCAAAAAAGCACAGGGGTTTGCTGGGTGTGAAACAATATGAGAAAAAATATTAAGGATAGAAAACAATAAAAGAGCAAGAGTTAAGAAGACAGAAGATTATGACTGAACTTCCACTTAAATTTTTTAAGATCAAACTTGACCGGAAAGCAAGAAGCCGGAAGAGACTTCCACAAGCGAGAATAAACTGTTAGGGCTTACGATTACATTTAGTCACCTAAATTGTAAAATGATGCCGCCAATCTAGTACTGCACTTAAATTCATAAAGTTTATATACCATAGAAGAAAGTTCATCAGACCAATAACCATGAAAGTATTTAAAGAAAAGACACAGGGAAACTACTTTACGGCGGTGGGAGAGTAACTGAAGCCAAGATACCAGGACAGGAACAAAGACATTGCAGATTCTTCTTTTATCAAGGATTTCTAAATATATAACAAGGGTACCAGACCATATGTGGCAGCAATATTCAAAGTATGGACGAATGGTAGATTTATAAATATGTTACTTATTTTCAAAGCATTCTCTACGTAAAATCGTTAGTAAATACATTTAAATTAGACTAGCTTCACTGTGATTATTTTGCTCCAACTTGGTCTTGAAATAGGCCTTTTCGATGCTGTTGTTATGCTCAATACATTGTTACAAGACTTGTTTCATTGAGATTCAATAAAGCGGAGATAAATAATTGCCAACTAAAATAGAGGACAATAAACGGTTTAATTAATCCGTTCCCTTTATATTTCTTCGACGTTCAGTGGTATCTAGGATTCATTTATTACTTGTGGTATTATGTAAGTCACTTTTTTCATAATATCTTTACATGTTAAACATTTGATGTGATTAATATAACAATGAAATGGAAATATCTCGGAAGAAAAAGATTAGCAGCAGAACAACAAAGACGGCATCAAAAAGGCCTGTTTCAAGACCAAGTTGGAGCAAAACACTCACTTAATAGACAAAGGTATATGAGTGCCTCACATGAAAGGCTTGAACAAATAAGACTGAAAAAGAGAAGATGTAAAAGAACTAATTAATTAAACGGTTCATTTTGCGCAAAAACTAATTTTGTTTAAATGCAGATAATTTTGTTTGCATGGATTATTAAAACGACTAAGGGAAGAAATCACTCATAAATTTACTAACTTAAGTTGACTTCAGTATCTGTCTATATTTCTGAGATGAGGTATTGTGTACACTATTTACATTATTCGGACTATTGTCCTCATCTTTGTCGCCATATTTATTACAACGTTTCGGCTGTTGTACGCTCCGGCTTTCTTCAGATGGGTGGAATGTCGAACTGAACCCTTTATTTCGCTCACTGGGGTAGACTGTTCTAGTTCTACGTGTCATGTTTAATGGATGTCAGTTATCAGTTATCTCCTGTTAATTCCCCTCTTCAAGTTATCTACTGCCTTAAACGGGTATTGAACTCACACTCTTTGGATCCTGTCACTGGATCTAACCAACACCTTTATCCACTGTGCCATGTGTCCTTGACTTACCTGCCTTCTTATTGCAGATGGTACAGGAAATATATAAATAAATGCACATTGATAATTATTATATAGTTTGATGAATTAAACGGTTGAATACGAAATCACTGACTGTAATTAGCAATAATTAGTAACATTGTCCTTATCGTCATTAATGACATTTTCATCTCAGAATGAACTAATATTCATTGGGATCACTAATGGGTCCGATCGTAATTTTAGCCGATGTAGCCATTGGATGTGTAATGGTTAGCGACTTATACTTAACATCGGGAAGAGGCAGCTAAAATTTTTGGGACATATAATGAGGAAGGAGGGTCTGGAGAATCTGATACTCACAGGTCGAATAGATGGAAAGAGATACAAGGGAAAACAACGCGTGACATATCTGGCGGACTTAAGCAAGTGGATGACAGATCGTGGTCTGGGGAGGAAGCAGAGGGAAGGAAATTGTTGAGAGCTGCAAGAGATAGAAGGACGTGGAGAGTCATGATCGCCTAAAGTCCTGAAAGGACATGGCACATAAAAAGAAAGAATGGTTAGCAGCTCGGAACGTGAAATTGGTGTGCTGAGGTCGAATTTCAGTCGATTCCGCGAAATTATCCTTGGGAAAGATATGGATTTATCTCTTCTAGCCCCCTCTAGCAACTATGAGTTAAATAGCAGGGCAGACCGAGCTCTTTAGCCTTGATTGTCAACCACTGTAGGAGAAGGAAATCTCTGAATTCAAAACCTACGCAGGACCATAGCTGGTCATTAACAGAATAGGCATGCCTACTTAGTGACTACCCCCTTTAACGTAGCGTAAAAGATGCCAGATTATCCTCTTCCTGAAAATCGGTGGTGTATTTAGACTCCCTGTCAAACATGTGACGTTTCAGTTTATGAAGACCATCTTCTAAAAGGATCGTTTGACCACTGATAAGTTATCCAGTTACGTTTGTGATATATTTAGTGCCTTAAAAACGCAAAAATCGAAATAATCTGTATTGTAATGGCATGGCTTCCGTGTTTCTTACTGTAGCACGATAAAAACAGCACATCGTAGAGCAATTCTTGTTAGCGTAATACAGCTAACATTTTACAAATTTGTGAACCAAATCAATTTCAAGTGGAATTGAATAACTGACCCCCGTGTAATATTTAATTAAGTAAAAACTGACTAAAAATATATGTCCAAGAAAGTTCACTCCGGGTTTATTCAACATCCGACAGCAAGGCGTCCGATCGAAGAGACTGGAGGTTTTGAGGAACACGGAAGCACCTCTTAATTACTGCTGGTACCAACCTTACCTGAGGAGGTAGCATTTGTAGGGTCCCAGCTATGGGAAAAAGTGTTCTGATATTTGTTTGATCCACGAAATCCAAAAATACATTATGGTAAATATACCAGCAATATGTTTATTAAAAAATGGCTATAAATAGGAAGAGACGAGGTCTGATTGAAGAAAGGCATAATTAAGTACATACGGCTTATAGTTAAGACAGACAAACAAAAAATAAAACTTACACCCAATATTCTCGGACGGGTGAAGTGAACGCGTTCCAGTCGTACTCACGGGAACAGTTCATGTGCGTATAGTTCGAAAGTAAATATGTGAGGTTAACGTCCTTGACTGGTACCACCTCTTTCCAGTAGGTGGAGTTGGAGCAATTGTAGGGAAGGAAATTCCGTTCGTATTCCGAGAGACATTTGTCGGTGTTCCACTCATTGTTGCAGTGAGACCAGGGCAGAATGCTTTTGAATGAATTGAACAGGTAGAAAAGCGCCCACGCCAATGGGACGATATACCAAATATTTAACCAGAAGGCTATCACTACTGCGGCGTAACCCACTCCTGCAAAAACAAAAAAAAAACGTATTAACACTATCATTATAAGGTAATATTTCTTAAATGGTCCGCTCGTAAAAAAAAAAAAAAAAAACTTATATTCGTGCTAATACGAATATGGAGTGGACAAACACGGTGGATAAATAGTAACAGGTTTATTGTAGAAACCAGTAGAACAAGCATTGAAGTAATAGTTATGCGCACGGTCGTCGCAAGTCAGTACAGTTGTGTGCATGCTGCTATCGGCCGCTAGTCTCGCAGATCCCAGCTCGACTCTCCCGTCCGCTGTCCTCACGGATACTTATAGATCGTTACCACCTATAGTGCCGCCACTTATGGAATGGTAAGTTATTCCATTACATCAAAAAGAAAAACAATAACAACATAAACAACAAAATAGCAAAACGTGTACAAATTTTCTGACACTGTTTCTACCTGGACCTATACAAAAAAGTAAATAGTTTCCTATATATATAGGCAGCAATTCTTCACTTAACTTTAAAGATCGGTTCTTGGGAATATTTGCAAGCTTCTATTTGGCGACGTAAAAAAAATATGCTCTTCAGTCAAATAATAACAAGAATTAAGTTTGTTGGAGAATAATTTTTGAAGATTAACATTTGTCACACATTTGTCAAGCGAAGAAAGAATTTGTCAGAATTCTACTGAGGAAGTCCTTTTGTAATACTACGCAATTATCAATGACGTAAGCACAACTTCAAACTTGATTGATTCATAGATTTGTTTTCTACGGTTTATCAACCCTTTGCATGTTATTTAAAGCCGGAAAATAAGTTTAGATTGCAGGAATATTTTTTTTAAATAATGATTTCGTGATACAAGACTTACTAATTAACTAACAGTTGGTGGGGGAGGTGGAATCATAACTTTCCCAAGGATATTTGCGCGTAAGTGAACCCAACTGGAATTGGAAATCGGTTCTCCGATTAACAATTTCTAAACATTACACCACCCACACATCCAAGTCTGCAGCAGCTAATATTCCTAAACTGTCACCCATCCAGCTAAACTTCGGTGATCGTACGGAGACCAATCGGAGTTTTAACGTGATATGGCTGTAAACCTTCAAACATGACATTTGTACATAAAAACAAAGTACAGATAACTTTTTCAGATGTGAGGGATCGATTTAACCCTGTATTCATATTTTAAACATGACCCCCATCAAGATTATAAAATAACATCAATATTTTTCGTTTCTGGCAATTGTCATGGTTTCAGGAAGATCCAATGAACGTTAATCTATAAAAATTATAACCATCTGCCCATGTTTTTTATGAGCGAACCAATCAGTCAATTTTCATCTTCAGGTCAAAATTAACTAATGATCACCATTTGGGATAAAGATACAGAAAGTCTGCCGGATGGGTTATTTCAGCATGTTCAGTGGCTGATAAAAGTTGCTGATTTCTTAAAGCGATTTCCCTGAATGATTTTCAAAGTGATTTCGATTTGTGCAATCAATATAAAATTGATATTTTAAGTCCTCACGAGATTTTCACATTTTGAAACAGATATGGGCTTTCGAAAAATTATCCTAGTTTGGAAGTGCACTTTCCTAAAAAGGGAAAATAGAGTCTCGTTGAACAGCGACTTTAAACAATCGGATGTCTAGCCACACTGATGAGCTGTGATACAGCGAAGCAGTATGTCTGCGGATGTCTATGCTCTCGAAATAATTCGACAGAGCTCTTCGATAGGAAGGGGTGATTTTCTAAACAGTGGCTGCTGCTGCTAATGCAATGCTCTTCGACTCGAATCAGACTCTTCTAGCTACTAACGTCTTTCGCATAGTAAAAACGTTAAAATTTCCCTTCCGCTATGCTGCGCGACGATAGCTTGGTGGTAGAATCACTGAATGATGCCCAATCGGATGTATTATCACACTGATGAGCTGAAAATAGTCTCTCTGTATATATATATATATATATATATATATATATATATATATATATATATATATATATACACTAATTCTAGAGCGGATCATTTATAAAAATAACAATCAGAAACTTCAAATATATTCTTATGTATGATACAAATTAATTATATATATATATATATATATATATATATAGAGAGAGAGGGTTAAGAGAGATTTTCCAAGCGTAGCTTAAGAAGGCCAAAAGTTGGGGCATCTGTTTGTCGTTGACAAGCCAACCACGCCGAGGTCAAAATATATAAATATAAATATATGTGAAAAGGTATAAAATATAAATAAATATATATATATATGTATAATTATTTATATATTATATGCCCCTTTTGGTGACAATATCAGATAGAGAACATATTAGGTTGGATATCCAAGTATATTATATATATATATATATATATATATAATGTAACCTACTTAAAAATCTGCCTCACCAGTCATGCATCGAAAAGATATATGATCGCCTAAACTGGTGATAACTTGTTACACTTAACAGAAAGCTGGAAAACTCTCCAAACTGCTGTTAACTGATCCATCTGGTCGTTGGCCAAGAGTTCAATGAGGGGTGCCCGTTGGTGAAATGCACCCCCCAGACTTCTCTGGTGACAGACGCCCACAAGGCCAGGCAAAACAGAGTGCCCATGTGAAACAAGACTACCCCCCACAAGGCCAGAAAACAAGAAGGTGATGGTGATCCCCTTTATCGACAGCACGGGCATCATCTAAGTCAACTGGACAGATAGTGAACAAAGAGTACTTTGTGGAGATTTTGAGGGGGGAGATGTTCAGGAAGAGATTTTATCCAAAAGTACAGGGCATTTCTAATCGGATTAAAAACAGAACATTTACTTAAATAAATTATATCTATAAAAATAACGTACAAACAAAAAATATATTAAATAACTGTCGGACTTAATCCATTTCATTACACACACACACACACACATACATATATATATATATATATATATATATATATATATATATATATATATATATATATATATATATATATATATAACACGGATAATCGTCAGGGTTTATGGTTAGCAAGTCCATTTCTACTATTTAGTAATTTCGCTTCTCACCGCATGCTCAATACGATTATCCGACATTAAATAATCCCGCAACACTTGACCTATAATACAATCAATCAAGCATTCCTTTCTTATTTTAAATGCATTCCCCATGTAAAATCGTTAGTAAATACATTTAAATTAGACTAGCTTCTTTTAGTAGCTTTAGCGTTAGCTCTCCAATACTGCTTCTAAATCATTTCACGCCAAGCAAGGTAACAATGCCACTAAGACACAAGGAGTTACTGAGTGTTAGAGAATATGAGGAAAAAACATTGTTAAGAAGACAGAACAATAGAAGAATAGAAATTACGAAGACATAACAAAACGATTGATATAGCATCTAAATTTTTCAAGATCAAATTTGACCAGAAAGCAAGAAGCCGGAAAAGAGTTCTACAAGCGAGAAGCGCGAGAAAAGAAATTGTTAACTTACGGTTACATCAAGTTGATTCAACTATAAAACGATGAGATATTCCCGCCAATTTAGTACCGGGTTTAAATTCATATAAAGTCTAGGTACCAGAGGCGAAAATTTATCAGAACAATTACCATGAAAGAATTTATAGCAAAAGGTACAGGGAAGCAACATTACTCACGTGGGGAAATGGCTGAAGTTGAGACTTCAGGTGAGGACAGATAACAATACAGATTCTTCTTTGTATTTTATCAAGAATCTCTAAATATATAGCAGGAGCACCAAAGCATATGTAGCAGCAATATTCTAAACACGGACGAATGGTAGACTTATAAATATATAAGATAGATTCTGGCGAGAAAAATTGTCTAGCACAACACAAGGAACCAATTTTCCTAGCAGCAGACTTAGCATTTGATTTAATATAATTTTTCCACTTCATGCCAGCAGAAAACGATAACCAGAAAAGGCACAATGAATCATTCGTCTGGAAGTTAGCGTCAGCCATATTGATGGAAGCAGAAAGGTTTCTTTTAAACAATTAATAGAGAACAGTTTCATTTTGGTGGCCTTACAATTAAGGAGCCATTCCTTGGCCCAGTTAACAACAGAATGTAGGTCATTATTTTTTTTAGATCAGCTGGCGATTTGAGCTTATTGGACAGATCAGACTTACTAATAATTAATAGTTGTGTCATATAGCACAGATTTCGGGTCCATTTTTAATGCCTATCAGATTGAGAGAATAATTTTGCCAATATCGCCGGAAATATTTATTTTGTTATTTAATTTTCAGAAAATATCGATAACAAAGCTGGATTTAAGTAAAGATGTCATAATTCAGACGGTGACGATGAGAAACTACAGCTTTATCATTTCCTTTTTTCCTAGCGTCGTAAGTTAATGTGACATTTTATGAAAATTTTAACGCAGTTACTTAATAGGTTTTAACTTGATATCATGAGTTTACACACACACACACACACACACACACACACACACACACATATATATATATATATATATATATATATATATATATATATTAATCTAATATTAATATATTGGCCGAGAGATTAGAACGTTTACTTTCTGATCATGAGACCCGGGTTCAGTCTCACCAAAGATTATGATTTGTCAGGAAGGCGACAGGGTACTTCTAACATCTCCACCTTGGGAAGTTCCTGAAAACCATACCACGGTTTGATCCAAACCTTGTGAGTGAAATTGGGTAGACACAACTCTTTTGGGCCGTCGATAGTTGTGTTAGCAAGAAGCCACAATTCATCGTGGCCGAGGGCTTGAGCGTGTTGTCCCTGTTCAAATTCTCGATCACGCCAGATTACACGCTATCAGAAACTATAATTAAGATCTGCTCAGCATAGATGCAGTATAAACCACAAGTGAGTTGTGAGCAAACACAAATGTACCTGAGCGATTATCTGCAATAGGGATTGGCTAGCTGCCCTAGTAGGTGGAGAACCTTGAGTACGAGTAGTCAGCTATATTATATATATATATATATATATATATATATATATATATATATATATTA